TTTCTCACTGTCTCCTCATTTCCCAGGTCAGAAACCCCATCCTCAGTGAGGACTTCCCCATGAAATCCTGAGTATTCTCTACATCTGCTCTTGCTGTGAAATGTCTGCCAGTCCCACAAAGCACCATCCAAATCATTCTTGGGGTCCATCTCTACCATGAGCCCCTGTGCTTAGAGGAATCGTTGTTGTCCAGAGTGAGAGGAAGCTGTGGTGATGGGCAGCAGAGCCCGCAGGCACTGGGCATCAGGAGTGCTCCTCAGACTGCTGTCAGGACCCTGGGCAAGGCCTGTCTTCTCTACCATTGCCTTTCCTTGTCACTCACAGCAGGTGGTCTGATCATGGGGTTCCCAGGCACCCATGTTTACCAGATCCTAGTCCCACTTTCTGAGTGCCTTTCCCAGGAAATTGTAGCCTTGGGGGTGAAACATTGCTTTAATGACTGGCTGCAGGCTTCTGTGTGTGCAGAGTGGGTAGGAGTGTGTTTAGGGGTACCACCTGCCTCTTGAGTGTCCTGCAGGCCACTGTCAACAGCCTCATGTAGATGCATGAGAAGGGCCTTAAACAAAACCAAAACAAAGCCCAAGATGCTTTGGGCTTCTTCAATTCCCTCTTTTGGATCCTACAGAAATCAATTAATTCCATTTTTCCTCTCTGGTTTGCACGTAGCAGTGTGTTGACTTCTCGCCCAAGAGGAGCTCCTGGAGAGACTTCCTTCTGACCCCGGGCTCCATCGATGTGGGTAAAGGACAGGGAAAGAAGTGCCATGGCCAGTCTCCACAACGCCTCCCCTGAGGGTCACAGGGTCCCTCCCTGCAGGTTCTTCCTCCCTGCACTCCTGTCAGGCCTCAGCCACTGTGGGCTCCTGCAACTGCACAGACCAGTGTGAGGCTGAGACGTGGAGAGACAGGAAATGAGGAAACGCTATGCAGAAGGGAAAGTGGGTCCTGTGCTACCTCCGGGGTCTTCAGAGAAACTCTGTTGAGCAGTGTGGCCTTCAGTTCTGTTCACCTCTGTTAGTCTGTGTGCCAGCTGTCAATCACTGTTTCCTACACATTCTTGATGTTCGCATTTTGGGTGCTGATAGGGTAGTCTTGCCAACTGTGGAAGACTGGACTTCCCTGGACAGCAATGGATAGAGATAGAATCGGGCTCCTCAGAGGACGTGATTCATATGGAAGTTCACCTGTCCTAGGATGCAGGGAAAACATTACAAAATAGCAAATATGTAGAATGAACTATTCAGAAGTTCTAATGGACACAAACACTATCTTTAGTGGTACTGTGTTCTGGTTAGCATTTTTTCCCAAATGAGTGGATTATAACTGTTCTTGCCAAGTGGAAGATACTGGCAACTATGAAAGAGATGGTAAGTTATTTTCTCATCCTAGTAATCATTTTGCCACCTACCTTAAGGTGTCATGTTGTCTTCCACAATACACAATACAACTTACTTTTTTCAGATATTGGACAACATACTTGGATGGGCATTTTTCTGAAGAAGACCAGCCAATGGCCGGCAGATCCATGAAAGGATGGTCAGAATCCCCAACCATCAGGGGAATGTACAAAGCCACACCCAGGAGTCACCGCATAACTATTAGGACAGATGATTTCCAAAGATGAGAAAGCAAGCGCTGGGAACTCTATGGAGAACAGAGGACCTGGTGCCCTGTAGGAGACCGCGGGAACTGGCAGAGCCACCATGGAAAGCAGTGAGAGGCTCCCTCTG